ATTATTAAGTCAGGAATTTCGTTACCATACATTACTTATAACCTTTACCAAATTTTTCCATAGATATAAAGATTTGGTTTTGAAGTTTGGTTGTACCTGTAGAAAACTTATTTCAAAAGGAATATATAGCATATCCTTATTTTTACGGAGATCTTGTTTCCGAGCCCTGAAATTTAGAAACGATCCGGGTACACTTGTCGATCCTTGAAATAAACTTATTCTAAAAGGGTACCAATTCAACATTGTAATCAGATCCTTGAATACTGTTTTATTGGTATTAATATTGATTGTGTTATCAGTAGATTAAAATCAAACTAAATATTATTTTTATATACATATGCACATTTATGGATCTACAATCTGTCGATACCTGTATCTTGGCATTGTTTTTATCTGACTCATAATGACGTCTTTACACTAAACCCATTGGATGTTTGGATCCGGATGTGTGCTGATTGGTATTTTAGTCTTAGATGCGTGATTTTATTTATTAGTTGTTACTGGCTTTGAACTAGCTGTAAGTAACTGCGAGTACTCTCATATCTGTACTTAGTGTCTTTTTTTGTAAGGATGAATAAGTACCCTGCTAAGCACACTCTGTGAGATGTATTTCTATTTGTATCCATCTGATGAGTTAAGCCTTTTTCAACTAATTTTTATAGTTTTTTCTTATGTTGTACTGTTACACCACCGTCCCAGTTTAGGGGAGGGTTGGTGCCTTCTAACTAGTTTAACCCCGCCACATTCTGTATGTGCCTGTTCAAAGTCAGGAGCCTGAAATTCAGTGGTTGTCGTTTGTTGCTGTGTAACATATTTGTTTTTCGTTCATTATTATGTCATTATTTCGGGGCCTTTTATAGCATTCTATTAGGTATGGACTTTGCTCATTGTTGAAGACCGTACGGTGACCTATATTGGTAAAGTGTCATTTGGTTTCCTGTGGAGAGTTGTCTCATTCACAATCATACCACAACTTGTTATTTTTTATATTAAAACCCAATTAGTCGAGAGAAAAAAACAACATAATACAATGAACAGAAGAAAAGACGTAAAAACGACAAACAGTCCATTAAACCACAGGTTGAGGAACAGTAACCCTACAACAAAACAGGGAAAACTAATGACCTCTAATGGGTAAGAAAGAAACATATTTTGCAGATCATTAAGAATTCCTTAATCATACTCAAGAAAATCATTCAAAGGAATTGAATTTAAATAAATTCTAACATTAACAAAAATAATTATCCTTTCATTGAATGTCTAAAGTGACGTACATTGTATTTTTTTTATTTTTAATAACATAACTTAACCTGTACGTTGTTTAAAGTTATCCAGTAATTAACACTTATGGTAATTCATCCAATCGTTATTAACATTATTTTGGCAATGCATAAAACTATATATATATATATATAGGTATGCTTTTCTCCGTATGCGTACATAACGTCTTTACACTAAGTTCGTTAGAAGGGTACTGCAGGATGTTTTAGCATTGGAAACATAGTTTATTCATTAATTGATGATGAAATTTGGCTTTGAACTAGCTTTTATTATTCGTTTATCGGTACTGTATGTCTTTTGTTATTTTGTAAGTTGTTTTTTTGCGGTTAGTACCAATATGATAAGTCAACTCCTTTTCAACGGGTTTCTGTTATTCTAATGTTATGCTGTTTCAGTACTGTCCTAGGATAAAAAAAGATCGAACGCTCACATGCGTGTTGAACACTTGCATTTGTTTATAAGCCAGTTAGCTAGAATCCAGTGGTTTATCTTGCATAAATACTGTTTGTCAAATGTTATTAGCTAAAATAATGGCGTTAGTTTTTTTTCTCTTTCATTTTGTTTCACATTTTGTTATCCCGAAGCCGTTAATAGCTTATTATACGGCATAAGTTTAGCTCACATTGAAGGCCGTGTGGTGTCTTGTTGTTGGTATCTTTGACCAGTGGCTAGGGTACCACATCTCCTTACCCCTCCCACAAACTCACTCTCTGAAAAAAATGAGAATATAAAAATTCTATACAATTTTTCTTTTTTTAATGTAATTCATCCAATCGTTACTTATATAATTTTCTCCGAATGCGTATAACGTCTTTACATTAAGTCCGTTAAAGAGGAACTGCAGGATTTTTTAGCATGGAAAACATAGTTTATTCATTAATTGAAATTTGGCTTTGAACTAGCTCATAGTATTTTTTAGATTGGTACTGTATGTCTTTTGTTATTTTGTAAGTTTTTTTTTGTGCTTACATGTAGTACCAATATTATAAGTCAACTCCTTTTCGACCGATTTCAACTGTCATTTTAATGTTATGTTGTTTCATTACATGCACTGTCCTAGGTTAGGAGGGGTCGAGCGCTCACATTCGTGTTCAAAACTCTTTGATGAAGTCCAGTGGTTTTCGGGCCATTTTTTTTGTCAAATGATATAAGCTAAAAGAAGGCCGTTCTCTTTTATTTTGTTTCACATTTTGTTATGCCGATGACGTTAATAGCTTACTATACGGTATGGGGTTTGTTCACTATTGAAGGCCGTGTGGTGTCGTGTTGTTGTTGGTATCCTTGGCTACTGATCTTGTCTCATTGATATGCCTACAGAATCTACTTACCACTCCAACGAACTCACTCTCTGAAGAAAATATATGTAAAAAAATCTATACAAAAACTATTAGTTTTATTGAATAATAACGATCCTTGAACAAATTATATCTGCTTTGACAAAGGATTGTTAATTTTTGAAAACATTCAAATTTTGTAAACAGCAAAAAAAATTTATCAAAAAGTCTTCTGTATGAAGATGTTCGAATGTCATAAAAACTAAACAGCATGTGAGTTGGTAAACAGAATGTTAAATAGATAATCAGAAATAGAATAGGCATGAATAGGAATTGTTCCAGTAATCCCCTTCCAGTTGTCTAAATACTGAATCACTAGTCTGTCAACACTAAGGTTGTGAGTTCGAATCCTGCACGTGCTAGGTGCGCGCTTGACCCCAATCTTGATTGACTTAGATTATCCTACAGAAGGTCGATGTTTCTCCCCGGGCACTCCAGCATCCGCCACCAAAAAAAATTAACAGACATGAAATACCAAAATAGTGCTGAAAGTTGCGTTGAACACCTTTCAATCAATCAATCATCCATGTATTACACGAAAACGCAGAAACTTTTACTGGCATATATCAAGTATAATTATATCAAGTAAACAAGATGTACTAGAATTGCGCAGTTTATTCAACCTATGTCACCAATTTTAGATATAGATCTACAATGGCATGAATAAATGTTGAAATCGATTTAAAAAGTTTAGCAACATTTAAGAAGATAATCCATGTACCATCTATTTCATGGATAAATACTTTTTTGCCAGTTGATTAATGACATCTTTAAACGACAAAATGGAATATAATACGAGATTAATTATGATAATTTCGATTTTAGACAAATTTGCATACATTGCATATTATATACATTGTATAAGTATGCGATGTTTTTTTGTTGCGATACACATTCAGTCGCATTATTCGAATTATCAAAAACTTTGCAAAAATGACTTAATTTACAGTATTTTTTTCCATGAAGAAATGCCATCTTCTCAGACTTCATAGATAAACACTACAAAATCTTTTCCAAGATACCCGGGCTTATAATTTGGTATGCCAGTCGCGCGTTTTTTCTTCATATGACTCATCAGTTGCACTCGAGTCAAACAGTTTGATGGCCACATCAAATACAAGAATATGAAAACTTTTAAAAGCCAATATTTCGAAAAGTTGTTCTAAATACGACAAAGACAATGTATGCCCGGGGGGAGAATAACCTTAATGTTTCCAATAGCAAGAAGCATTCGGTATTTGTATACAGTAAATCTTTGTACGCTTGTGTGTTATATTTATACTTTGTAGGTACAAATGTATTATTTCAGTTCATTTTTTTTGTATGCTATATATTTTGCCATTTTTTCAACACTACTAAGTACATTACACTACACTAGGCTCCTCATGTTTGTGGCGGATCCCGAAATATTCATATGGGGGGGGGGGGGACACTGACTGCATAAGAGAGGGCCTGCTCCAGTCGTGATTCCCTAAATAATCAACCGATTTTTTTCAACAAAAGGGGGGGCGGGGCGCCTTGCCCTCCGAAATACGCCTTTGCATGTTACTCTACTTAAATATTTACTATCATATTTTATTTAACAGATTTCATGACATGTATATCTATTATATGGTAATTTTTATAAATTTACTGTAATGCAAAGGTATGAATTATTCTAAATACTAAGGATTTTCTTATCCCAGGCAGATAACCTTAGCCATATTTGGCACAACTTTTTGGAATTTGGGTCATCAATGTTCTTCATCTTTGTTTGGCTTTCTTTACTATTTTGACCTGAGTGTCACTGATGAGTCTCATGTAGACGAAACACGCGTCTGGCGTATTAAATTATAAGCCTGGTAAATTTAATAATTATTAGCATGTCGTAATGTTCTATTATATTCAATTTGTTAATTTGTGTATTTCTCTGTCCTGAATGTTCTTCCATTTATTTGTATTGTAGTCCAGTCATGTAAAGTTGTTATTTTAGTGTTATATTTAACATTGCCATAAAAGCGGGAGGTTTGGCTAGCCACAAAACCAGGTTCAACCCACCATTTTTCTTAAAATGTCCTGTACCAAGTCAGAAAAAATGGCAGTTGTTATCTTATAGTTCGTTTATGTGTGTGTTGCATTGTCTTGGGTTTTTTTGTTGCACTTTAGTGTTTCTGTTGTTTCGTTGTTTTCCTCTTATATTTGATGTGTTTCCCTCAGTTTTAGTTTGTAACCCAGATTTGTTTTCTCTCAATCGATTTATGACTTTCGGACAGAGAAATACTACTGTTGCCTTTATTCATGAAGGTTTACATTTTTCACACATACAAAAACGTACTTTTCTCATACAATGATACTACATAATTCACAAAAAAATAAACTAGTTCACATAGAATTAGCTTCTCTTCCAATTGAGGATCCTGAATCTATTGGACAACTCATTATGTCAATCTCATCTTGTTAAAATGTTGATGGATCTAAATGTCTAGTTATAAATGTTGCAGTGTTGTTGGAATCAACACAAACAAAGGTAGTAAGCTGAATGAAGTTCATGGCCACAGGAAAGATCGTTGTCATTGAAGTGGGGAAATGTATAGAACTGTCTTTCGTCATTTTGAAACCTGAAAAAAAGAAAAGGTTATTGACCAAAGATTTGATAAAGGATGTTCACTCCTCTTGTTTCTGATTTTTTGCCAGAAATTCTAAATCCTCTGGTTTTATCCATGTAGTGCGTTAAAGAATTTTGCCCGCAAACCCCTACTTTTCTTTTCATATCGTTTATTACATTATAGTTTTAAAAGCCATATTTGAAAATCTTATAAAAATCCTTGTTATTTTTCAAAGTTTTGATAAGAAAAAAGGAGCCAATGGTAATTTAATGTTATATATAGAGGGAATCACCTCCCGCCAAATTTGAAAAGCTGATATCTTGAAAACAAGCACACGGTCGGAACCATCATTTGTTTCTGCTTTTTTTTATTCCTTTATTCATATACTTTTGATTTGTAACAGTCTTTAAAAATCTTGTTATTCTGAAACAGAGTGGCGAACATCTGCTGAACTCTCAATTACTTTCGTAATATATATATATATATATATATATAGCTTTACATGGGCTTTCTTTTTAAACTTTCACTCAATACAATAATCAGTACCTTTCTATCATCAATTAACATGTTTTTTTATGACAATTTAGTTTGAGTTGATAAATGTGTGTACAGAAGGTCTTATGTCTTTGAAAACAGATACATGTACATGTATCTTACAACGACAACGTCTTGGATATATAAAAAAAGATGTGGTGTGATTGCCAATGAGACAACTCTCCACATGGTATGTTTGTTTAATGTTACATGTACGACACACTTAGTGTTTTCAAACATAGTTGGTGTTATCAGAAAGAATTTAGAAAACAAAAATGATCAAGAACAAAATGACATTTTCAGCTTAAGTCAATTCTTTTAGATCGCATTTTGTAACTGCAAGCTTTTTTGTCAACAATTTCAACCTAGTATAAGTATAAACAATTCAAATGTACTTTTGTTTAATATGAATATCACTAGGTTTACTATTTAGTTTTCTCTGTTCCTTTTGAGTGCTCACAAAATCATTTGTTTCAGTAATATAAGTCTTAAAATGTCCACCAAACCCTACTGGTTATATTGTTTTGATAGTGTTATCTACATCTTTATATGGCGTGTATAAAAAGCTTTTGTCTTACACTGCACATGCCTTTTTGTTATCGTGTTATGCGTTGCAGGGTTTATTAAATGACAAGGTTTCCATAGTATTCTTATATTCAGATAAAACATATAAATGTTTGAGGGCAGGTGTTTTTCAAAGTTATTTGTAAATTGGATTACATTTTTAACTGTATAAAATTTGTTAAATGACTACCTTTGATTATGTCTCCCATTATGCCATCATAGCAGTTGCCTGGTCACGAGGCACATTGACATTCAGTAGTTTTTACAACCCATCCGACTTCCTCACCAGAGGTCAGCATGGTCTGGATTTCTGGAAATGACGTCAGTTGTCTTTGTTCTGCATGATCTTTTACCCATAAGCTGTAAAGATAAAATGACAATAATGGTTAACCTTCATCAGGAACGCTCGACCCGAAAAATATATAAGAACGTAAAACCACTGGAAAACGTAATGTATAATAGAAAGGAACGTAAAATGATTCTTATATTCGACTACGGCCAACCTTTGACTGAGAGAGTTGGATTCTTAGTTTTTCAATAAATCTGAAGTTATGTAAGAGATGTTACATTAATAATGGTTTGTCATAAATCATGTCAATTGAAATGCACTGACTACTAAGCGTATTTTCTAGATTTAATTTGATCAGAAACGATAAAACACAAAAATTTAAAACGCAAGAATGTATAACACCTCTGGAAAACGTGAAAAGATTACGACCTTAAAGAACCTCAAACAATAGCCTTATCGATAGCAGGTCAATTTTGTCGGAATTGGTTGAACCATGAATTCTTAATAGTTGCTAAACTATCACCAGCAAGTCTTAGAAAAACATGTATGTACTAAGGCATTGACTACTAAGTTGCCGATATACTAACAGTTAACGCAGTGTCATGCTAATTTGTTTATTTCTGTTAAGATGTAACAAAGTCTTGATTTAGAGCTTAAAGTCCAGCAGCGATCTCGTTTTAGTATTCAATGTGTTCTACAATTCAGACTTCTACAACTATATAGATATGTGAACTTGGAGTTTCAAATACTTTTGTTTGTTTAAAATTTAACATGACTGTCACAAATACTTCATAAATGCTTAAAAAAAAGTAAAATCACAAAAATACTGAACTCCGAGGAAAATTCAAAACGGAAAGTCCCTAATCAAATGGCAAAATCAAATGATAAAACACATCAAACGAATGGACAACAACTGTCATATTCCTGACTTGGTACAGACATTTTCAAATGTTGAAAATATTGGATTGAACCTGGTTTAATAGCGCTAAACCTCTCACCTGTACGACAGTCGCATCAATTTCCGTTATATTGACAATGATGCGTGAACAAAATGTCACAAATAGGGGTACAAAAACAACACGGACCCCACCAAAATCTAGGGATGCTTTCAGATGCTCCGGAAGGGGAAGCAGATCCTGCTCCACATGTGGCACCCGTCGTGTTGCTCATGTTGTTACAAAGCCGGTAAATAGTCTAATTCGGTAGGTCACATTCGTGAAAACGGAAGGGCATTGTAGTTACGACATAAGGAACATATCCGATATCATCTGTATAACGAATTTTCCATAACGTTCAACCAACTCGTGATGGCGTCCTTAATATTTACGAAGTGATGATTACAACTTCACCATTTGGATCTCTTGGTTTAAAAATGAAAAGGTAACAATTGGGAAGCTGAAATCATCTCTTTTGTCGTAAAGTTTTGTTTTCAACCGACCCTCATAGTCAATTTCTAGATATAAGTCCTAATCAAATGGCAAAATCAAAAGCTCAAACACATCAAACGAACGGATAACAACTGTCATATTCCTGACTTGGTACAGACATTTCCTTATGTAGAAAATGGTGGATTGAACCTGGTTTTATAGCGCTAAACCTCTCACTTGTATGACAGTAGCATCAAATTCCATTGTATTTACAACGATGCGTGAACAAAACAGACATAATAGGTAAAATTAAGATAGTTCAAAACAAAAATTTTGCACAAATTTTACAAATTTTAACTTCTTCCTCTTATACTCGCAAAGCTCTGCATATTGTGTATTAAATGTGTTTGTGTTACGAATCCTTCGATGTTTAATTATACTAATACATTAAGAATAACACCGCTCTATCAGTACTGTAAACTTCAGCCATCAACACAATTTGACTTCATCGATTTATGTGTAATTATTGAAAAATCTTTTCAGTACCTTATTTAGATTTTTTAGTTTTCGAATTCCAATAGTTTCCAACAATTTTCTGATTTTTCGCATTCGAGTGAAAAAAACGAAGGGAACCTACTGTGCCTCTTTTAGGGGATACGGAAGAAGAAAATAGGACATTTCTGAAGATACAAAGATATCTCGTATATAATTGGACGTTCCCAATTAATTGGAAACTCCTTCAAATTAAAATGCAGCTTAAGGATGTAGTGATGTCAGCTTTAGAATTTTTTGTCAAACTCTTTCTTTTCCTACGATACAGGGTAAAATATTTTGCCCCATATCACCCACTTTTCTTTTCATAGAAGATTTCAATAGCTCAAAGAAGGTCATTACCAAAATCTAAGCAGATTCTTGATTTCTTTTCTCACTATTTCGGACCCAAATAATAGCAATGCTAAATATAAGGTAAAAGTCCGAGTCAGTCGTTTCCCGTCATTTTTTAATATCAAATATCTCGAAAAGGTGTTCTATAACCTATCAATATTTTTAGTTTATTTTGTTCCTTAACTAATGCTCTTCTGATTTCTAGTATCAATTTTGAATTCCAGATTTTTTTTAATTTCACCGGACTACATCCTTAAACTATAGACCTAAAAATTGTGTAAATATTTCAAAGAGACTCGTGTGATTGTCGACTGTATCTAATATTTTTCTTTATTTTTGTTTTCCTTCCCTTAAAAAACATATTTCAAAATTTGACAGGGTGTTTGTCTTTATTAAAGCAACATATGCTGCAGAAATTTAATCTTACCTCCCTTGTCCTTCTGTCCATTTACAATATGTTCCTGATATGTTGTCGATAATATTTATATAAACTCCAGATTTTGCCCAAAGCACCTTTGCAGTATCATTGACATTCCACAGTGTATGTATTTCTTTATTTAAATCTAAATTTAAATACACAGTGTTATAAATTAACTTTTCAAACAGTATTTTCGCTAAATGTTTTATCTGACAAAATCCTAACGATTTATATTTACATATATTTTAACAAAATGTAGAATAGGTATTCTTGCAATTACAACATTTCTTGAAATCAGCAATAGATATTTCATTCTGTGAGTCTGTTAAATGTGGTCAATGGTCGGAATTGATTTCACACGTAACATACACAGAGTATGACGCAGTTCTTTGATTTGATGTTAGGGAAGGGATTACTTTCTTAATAATCTGTTTTACAATTGCAAAAAAATACTAAGAAAAAAGTTTGAAAAAATAGATGTTCGTTCAAAAGTTTGTTTTTTTTCAGGGATATTTTCTTTTTTTTTTTTCCTCTTTTATTGCAGATATATGTGGGTTCTTCTCGATTTATTTGCATTGATTGTGAAACCCTGGAAGCCTCCGTTCCACGGACAATACGTGTTATTTCATTCTTTACATTATAAAGTTCAGGAGTAGATGATGCAAAAAACAAAAAACACAATTTGTGTGCAAATAACGCATTGCATGAGTACCATTTCCATGATTTCTGTAAAATATGTAAGAATGCTTACATTTTGACGTTTGTAATGTCTGGCTTTTTTTTCAATGTCATGTTTTGAATAAAGAATAAATTTTCTTTGTTTACTTTGTCTTCGATCAACAGACTGTTTTTGAATTCTGTAAATGGGAAGATATTTTCTTTCTCATTTTGATTTTCGATAGATCGGGTTTTTTTTTTTTTTTAAATCGAGACACATCTCATATTTTCTTAGGAGACCCATGGCACTGTGTCTAAACTGTTTTCGATTGTGAGATGTAATATTTTCTACAACCGTTCTAGATTAACGGAGAAATAAGTCAAAAGGCACGTCAAAATGACGATTTGAGTGAACCTTGCCTCGAATTTGTTTAATATCTCGATAAATTGTGCACATTGTACGGAAAGAAAGGTACGAACAGAAAGATATTAACATGGAGATAACAAGACTAGTCACTTTGAGCATCTCAATGTTTGTATTAATGGCATTTTTTTGTTTCGTTTGAAAACCACAAATTTATGAAAAGCAACCTTAACACAGATCTGAACATTCTCCGTTAAAAGAATTCAATATATATGTTATTATAAAACACACCTGTCGTGTTAACATTTATTTTACACGGGAACTTTTCGAAATAGATGGTACACGTTTTTTAATGTTATACGTATACCTTACGCACTTATCTTATTTATAGCATGCATTTACATTAAATCTTTTAATAGTTTATTATGATGTATGTTTGTTTACTATACATTAGCACGAAATGATATAAAAATAAGAAGATGTGGTATGATTGTGTCACCATATCAATTTATCAAAAGAGTAAAGCTTTTCTATTCTGTACGCTGTGTTTATGATAGTTTACTCATTTAAATTATTGACGAACAGTCAGAAAAAGACTTTAGTCTATACTATTTTTCACGAATTAATCGTGCATCCAACGCCGTCAAATTTTCTGGTACTACATAAACTTGAGCAGGCACATTTCATGAAAACTGCAAGTTAAAATTTGAAATAAATGTATATTACAATTATGTATTTTCAATGTGAATAAGAGTTGGCTTGCAGCATATTATCGTCACAAGATCCACGTCTTATTTAGAACAACCTTATTAAGTAGCCATTTACCCCGTGAAAATTGCCAATGAAGCAACTTTCCATCAGAGTCCAAATAACGTAAAAGTTAGCAAATATAGGTTACCGAATGGCCTTCAACAATGAGAAACATCAATACCGCATTGCATAGCTATAAAAGACACAGAAATGACAAATGTAAAACAATTCAAACGTGAAAACTAACGGCCTGATTTAGGTACAAAACAAAAACATAAAGCAACAACAGCAACACAAGACAACCGCTGATTTATTGGTCCCTGGATTCGGAATTGGCACATACAGAATGGCAGGGTCAAACGTGTTAGCGCCAACTATACCAACAGTGGTATAACAGCACAACATAAGATCAAACTATAAAAATCAGTTGAAAAGGGCCAAATTTTTTTTTTGAGGGGGGGAGGGGGAGGGTCTCAACTTAACTTGGTTATAACATTACGATTCCCCAAAAATTTATAAACTTATCATATTGTAAAAAATTTCGAACACCATAATGGTATTGTTAAACATTTCGAACACCAAAATAATCTTTTTTAATTACTTCAGATGACAGAAAATGTAACTATTGAGGGAGCAGATGAGTAATTTCATGAGCTTATTCATGAAAGCTCATCTGTTGTTACAACTGATTTAAACAACACCAATGATAAGTCTGGGTTTATTTTCTGTTTTATACAAATAGTCTAAGCCGCCACGAATTTCCATTCATGGTCTCGCATTCCCACGAGATATAAATACCACTGTGAATTTTGAAAATAAACATGTGATCCAATCTACATACAACAAATTTGGCGGATGTCTCTGTTTTCTCGATTCTTATAAAACTTCAAGATAGTATACGATGGGCGACCTACATTTGCGCGAATTTGAAAATGACAAGCATTACGTTTGCGCGAATTTACCTGAGTTTTTACCTGTGATTTAATCTTTAGAATAACCTGAATTTTACGTTGTTTTTTTTAGGAAAATGGGTTATATCATTGGTTGTTGTCTATCATATTTGTTTTTAGTTTATTTTTTTGAACATAGTTTGCATTCATGTCACTTATATTGATAAATATATATCAGAGAACTCTTCATTCGTTTATATAAATATCAAAATCACTACATTTACGTAAAAGAACAGTTTTGAATAAATTACAGTGAATATCATGAAGAGGAACATTCAAGGTATTTAGTCATGAATAAACCACAGTATGCATGTACATGATATCTACGTACGGGAACCATCTATGAATCAGTCCGTGTCTGGTACTTGTACCCTAGCGCAGTTAGAAGAAGTCGCCTTAACTTGCAGTATAATCTCAATGAAGGTGTAGATGGCTGGTTGAGTAGAACACAGCTGTTCATTGTAATGTCTATGAAAAGACTGGCCCATTGTTGGTACGTTTTGATTCTTCATTATGCACAGCCGTCCACATTGCTGGTGGAAAATTCAACTCACTGGTTACGTAATTTTCTACTAAGTAGTCGGCAAATTTGTTGCAGTTTTCATTTACAGGAGCATCTGACATTATATCGTCTGAAAAACTGTCCTAAACTTCCTCGAAAAAAAGACCTGTCCAATACGAAGAGGACTACCTTTGACTGTAGTATTTAGATACATTCTAATAATATATATAATTATAAATAAATTCGTTTCATTTCGGACATAACAATTTGTTTATAAAAAGACAAGGATTTATTTTTCCTCGAAAACAGTCCTGTCCAATATGAAGAGGACAACCTTTGACTGCAGTATTTAGATACATTCTAACAAAACAGTTCGAATTGATTTCATTTTTTTTAAATTATAAATAAATTCGTTTAATTTCGGACATTACAATTTGTTTATAAAAAGACAAGGATTTATTTTTATTATCTTTTTTTTTTATTAATCCACGCAAACATAGTGACTTTATAACAGGTAAATTTCGCGCAAACGTAATGCGTTTTGTCGCGCAAACGTGGATTTTATTCGTGCAAACGTAGAACAGATTCGCGCAAACGTAACGCGCCGTATACGATATAGTTATATTTTATATCATTTATTAGTGGCGGAGCCAGGGGCGTAGAGTGCGTACGTCCCCATTATTGACAAAATAAAATTTGTATATCATGTTTTTTACGATTTATCAAAAAAAAATTTCAGCATAAAATCGTCCTAGATCCGCCCTTGTGTATTGATAATTTTAAACTTGACCAATGCATGTCCCTTAAATGTAAAGCAAATTATGATAATCATAGCACAATGGAGAGATAAAGAACCGTTTATTTATAAAATTATTAATGAAATAAACAGTATTGCATTTTCTGAATGACCTGATACTATTTTACTTATTTATACTAAGTATAATAGTTAGAAGGAGGGGTAAACAGATTTTTAACGCATGATTATTGTGATCCATTGCGCTGCATGAAAATTCATGCATCTACATTTGTCATATTCTCTTGCTTTATAATAAACATTGAGTGTTCATGATATTTTTTTCAAATTAAAAAAAAAAACGAACAGAGAGCTTAAACCTCAAATTGCATTACAACCTTCTTTTCTTTGTATTTCGCCGTTAAAGTATTCGTTTTTATATAAAGCAAAATTTGAAAAAAAAACTTTTCCGATAAAGCAGGAATTCAAGCGTTTGCGGATTCAAATAAATCATAAGTCGTCCTCTGCAAAAACTGTTTTCCAACAGTCCATCAAACTCCTATTGAACGACGGATTTTAATTTAGTAATACGATTATACGTTATTTTCTATGAAAAACGTGGTCCTGCTTTGGGAAATTTTTAAGACGAAACCGGGTTGTACACATAGACAAAACCGGTTCCTTTAATTTTGACATGACCCATTTCTTTCGTTCCATGCACAGAAATACAAAAATTGAGGTGCTCAAAGTGACTAGTCTTGTTATCTCCATGTTAATATCTTTCTTTTTGTACCTTTCTTTCCGTACAATGTGCACAATTATCGAGATATTAAACTAATTCGAGGCAAGGTTCAATCAAATCGTCATTTTGACGTGCCTTTTTACTTATTTCTCCATTAATATAGAACGGTTGTAGAAAATATTGCATCTCACAATCGAAAATAGGTTTATGTGTATTTCTATTTTTCAATATCATAAAAAATAACAAATAAATAAACAGAAATCTTACATTTTATCTGTCTGTTGATGGTCCGTCACCGTCCCGGATATTTGAAACTATTGAGTCCAAACATTTTTTGCCGGGGGTAGTTTAGACACAGTGCATGAGTTACTGTGTAAAGAACAAAAGACGAGAAATAAACATTCTAATATAAGGAATGATTAATTGGTGTTTAAAGCCACTTTCAGCACTATTATGCTATTTCGTGGCGGGCCAGTTTTTATTAGTGTAGGAAGCCGGAGTGCACGGAGAGGCACGGATCTTCGGTAGGAAAACTGACAATCCTTGTCAATAAAGATTGGAGTAGAGCGCACCTGCCACGTGCGGGATCCGAACTCAAAACCTCGGTGTTGACAGGCTAGTGATACAATAGTGCGATTAATATGAGAAAGAACTACAGCTAATAATCACCGTATTCGTCGATGTAGTCAACGTTGCTTAATATCAACTCTCCGGCATCTTTCCTCAAGATTTTAATGGCACTGAAGTATTTGATTTCACCACCAAACACGGGAATGTCTTTAAATGGAGGCGAAGCGGATTGTAGACAACTCGATATGTTAAAGAAGTATTTTACTTCTGCTCCATTTTCAAGGTATGAAACAAGAGAATCGTAGGTTTTTACTGGACTAGATCTGAACAAAAGAGTTATAACATGCAGATAGATTTTTTCAAAATAAACTGACTCAAATCGTACAATCCTGCACAGTTTCACTGAATTCGGTTAAGAATTACAACATTGGTCTTAAAAATGTACTAGTATTTTAATTAGTCGTTTTATTGGTGAGAGGACTAAACGACTGCATGTTGCTACCAAAATCTATCTATGCTCAAAGGTCGGTTTGATTAAGGTTTTGCTTGTCTAACAAATTAAATTTGCAGGATTTTATGATTTCCTTCAACTATGTTTTCTAATAATATAAATAGTGTGTCACGTCGGTCTTTGCGGCAAAAAGTCTTCCATCAGTCACTAAGAAAAGCAACAGAATTTTCACTGAATTAGTACACAATTTTATTTAGGAGCCAGCGGAGGACGACCTCCGGGTGCGGGATTTTCTGGCTGCGTTGAAGACCCGTTGGTGACCTTCGGCTGTTGTCTGCTCTTTGGTCGGGTTGATGTCTCTTTGACATATTCCCCATTTCCATTATCAATTTTATTCTGCTATGATAAAGTTCTTCGTATAAGTTTTTTTGCATTTCATAGTCAAAGCTCAAGAGTAGAAACGATTGAATTAAATAACAGGGTCGAAATTTTAACCATCCAGGCCAGTGAAATGAACTTTTATATTATCTACGTTCCAAAGCCGAATTTCAAATATTTTGCTGATGTTTGTAATGATTTTATCGGGATCTTATGAGTGAAGAATTGTGTGCAATAAATGGCTTTTTTTAATCATTTTAGTGTACAGCAATGGTTCTTAATACCGAAGCAAATTAAATAAATATATATATATATTTATTGCTCTACTTAATCATTTAATGACATCTTGATAAAAAAGTTAAAGACGTTTTTACAAGAAAAACTCACCTTTGATATGCAGACATCAAGAATGAAGATATTAGACCACTATTAAGACATAACAGGTAAACTACGGAATTCGCCATTATGAAATCAGGCTTCTTCAAAAGTCCTTCTAGAAAATCTTTTGAGTGATTACTTCGGTGCAATGTTACCTAAAGAACCGATAACCTATTTTTATAACAACATGAGACCTTGTGTTAACCATGAGGTCAAGGTCATATCATACGATATGCCCAAAGCACTTGCAGGCATTCCAAACGGCTACTAAAAGTTTCCGTGAATGCAAGATAAATGGGTCAGTATAAGAAATTCATTTCTGCTTGGTTATAGAATATATGTCTTCAATAGTGTTTGCTTTGTCCGCATAAAACTTATGCATGTTATGATAGGTATGATAGTTCGTTTGGAAGCTGAGGCATATTTGCAAATGTAGCTCAAGTTCACGGTACCTTATGAGAACTAAGCAAAATATGATGAGAACTTTGTAAAATTGCTTCTTGGAGTGAGAACTTCCCAATTTAACACAGTGAAAATCTGTGCTAATTTAGTTCCTTGCCAACATTGAATAAGAAATGTCAATGGAATTTAAGTGGAAAAGGGGAGGGGGAAGTTGGGGTGGCTGATATTTGTTTTTTTTTTCGTGGATTGAGTATTTGTTTTTACCTGTTGCTAGTTCTACATTTTTTTCATTTTTGTACCTATTTAGAAAAAAAATTCTGTCAGTAATAGTTCAGAAAATAAAATAGATAAATGCTCTGTTTTTCCGATTTTCAGTTAAAGTTCAACAAGCCCAAGTTGTATGCAAAATTTTGCAAATATCTGTGACAAAGCCCATTTACTGTTCCTCGACCTTAAATATTTGGTTCTGAGGAAGCTCTTTTCTGGATTAACCTTCACTAGGAACGCTCTAACTAAAAAATATGATAGAAAAGAAAAAGGATGTATAAGTACTTAGATACGTTAGAAGCTGTGAATTAGATATAGAAACTATCAAAAGTCTGTTGATAATACCAAATTCTCTAAATACAATATACATGAGGGTCTGTATTGGTGTGAGGGGGGGAGGGGGGGTCCTTCATTTCTGTATTTTTTAATTTTTTTAAGCCATTTTTCTCTATTCTGTATACTTTTTGCTCATTATTCTCTATTCCTTATATTTGAGCACCTCATTATTCTCTATTCTTTATTTTTTTATTCCTTTTTCCTCTATTCTTTATATTTTTTGCCCATTATTCTCTTTTCTGTAAATCTTCATCCACACCCTCATACATGTGATATGACAAAAGGCAACCAACCACCTTTATGTCATTGTAATCAAACATGTACTGAGCAAGAACTGATAAACGGATATTGAAGATAATTATCTATGTACGTTAGATATAAACATTAACGGATTAAAAAAAAAAATGAAATTGAAGCATGAAATAACATAATCCCCTGTAAAAATTTTCACACAGTTTTAGATTCAAAAGTAACGCTCGTGAATAATATATAAGAATGCAAATCAATACACATTGTCTGTTGAATTTAGAATGAACTTGTCTGAAAAGATTAAACAGAAACTGTAGATAAAATATATTTGAAATAAGTCCGAATGTCCAGAATAAGAAACACACAATTTGGTTCGACTTTTTTCACGATCACATAATTATGCTTTCAACCCTCCATGTAGGAGGTCAAGTTATAGAGCACTAGTCTGAGTTTGAGTTCACACTGATAAAGTCACATTATACTCATTTTATTAAAGGAAGTAAAAGGGAAAGCATACACAGTATGATACGGTTGTATCTCAATAACATTATTTGACATTTTTAGCATCATATGGAAACCGACAGTGCCCTCTTCGCTACTATTTGTTTTTATTCTAATACAAGACAAAGGTTTGATAAAGAAAAAGAAGATCAAAGAAGTTGTTTCGTTTAATTTCACAATACAGACTAAAATATTATCAAAATGTTCTCTCAATCAACAATCCAAACTTCTTGAAGTTAAGCCTTACGGATTTTTGATGAGCTGTCATTAGGAAGTTTTAAATACATGTTAACGAGTTTTGTTTTAGACATCTTTTCATCGTTCTTCGATCGTTTTTTGCCATCGCCTTTTCAGTTTCTCTTCGAATTAAATAGATGGGTGTTGGTACTTTTTGTCGTTTGGTAGCCGTCTTATTGGCATATACCCGCATCCCCCATCAGTCATAAATAGATTAATCAAAACAAATGACAATAGTAACATACATGTTAACGAGTTTTGTTTTAGACATCTTTTCATCGTTCTTCGTTTTTTGCCATCGCCTTTTCAGTTTCTCTTCGACTTAAATAGATGGGTGTTGGTACTTTTTGTCGTTTGGTAGCCGTCTTTTTGGCATATACCCGCATCCTCCATCAGTCATAAATAGATTAAGCAAAACAAATGACAATAGTAATAGATTTGAAAAGTTACTATGCTTAAACACGCTTATTACATCTAAATCATTGCTTTGTGTGTAATTGTTACGCAAGTCGTCTATTTACGCGTCTACAGTAATAAGCATTTCTGGAATAATTGTTGTTGACTTTAAGAATTACATTTCTATCAGGTAAGAACTTCGTTTTTTTCGGAATATTTTTCAAAACTTTTGTTTAGCTCATTGTTATGTAATTTAAATACATGTTAATATCATTACCAGAACAGCGATTCTTAGAAGTGTGTCATACTCCATGGTGACAAGAATGTATCATAAAGTTGGGACAGATGTTTGCCTAAACCAATACGGTCTGCAGTAATGTCAGCCTTGTGAAAGATAAACATGAAAATACCAGCTGTGAATAGTTGAAATTTTAAATCATTGTTTAAAGGCGACGGAAAGGGTTATTTATATTGCATTCTGGGATATTAATCAAAATGTATAAACTGGTATACTTTTTTTCCATTTGTTGCGAATAAAATAAAAGGTGGATAATGCATTAATGATACGGCAACTCTATGACACGACAATCACAAAATACACTGGACTAAAAGATATTACTAAACATAAGCACAATCAAGGTTTCTCGTTAAAGGCATGCTCATGAACATGCAGAGGTGCTCAACTAGTTTTATTACTCACACTCCCCCTTTCAAATATCGGCCAGAGCACACCAAAGGATGTATGTATTTTGGAATGACGGAAAGACATATAAAGTGATAAATGTAATGATTTCTACCAAGTATTTTTAGAGAGCATAATTTAATGAACTCACCAATATATTTTTCGGAAGCATATCTTAATGAACTCACCCATATATTTTGGAGAGCATAAAATTTAGGCTGATAATTGTATTCTCATTTTGGATAGAGAGATCAACAAGCCATAGGTACTTGGGGACAGCCCTCCCCCTTTTTCCAAAATCAGGTTGTTTTTTGTTTGTTTCTATTACAATTAGTTTTGCGTTTTTCTGTTTTATTAAAAGAAGTATGCTAGAAATAACTTGCATTTGCTATTTATTACAAATTCCAAGTTTATTCTATCCATATTTAGATTATAGAGTATAATGGTTTTTTTTCTTAATACCCTCAAAATGGCATAAGAAAATAAAGAATAATGAAAGATGATGAAATGAAGAACCCCGCCAAAAAAAGTATTCAAAATTTAATAAATTCAAGCCATTCTTAAGAAAAAATAGCACAAAATAACACCACATGATTATAAAGCGATAAATGTGTTACAGTTAATGGGCTATATCACAGATTTTGGTAAAATTTGGAAACAACTTTGGCTCGTTATATTTTAACTGAAAAACGGAAAAAATGCATTTCTCTTTTTTATTCTCTGAACTATTACTGAATCAGATTTATCTCTTTTAAAATAGGCGAACATTGGTAAAGAAAGCACAGAAAATCGGTGAAGATCCATAGATTTTTCTAAAAAATTATATGTTGTTGATACTTAAATTTTCGTTTTAATGAGTTAAGATAGTAATATGCTCACCGAAATAACAATAACTTTAACGGATTAATATATAAGTTGACCTCATTCTTAATTGCATTTTTGTACGTTTATAGGTATCAAACTGTTAGTTCAAGGATGCTGTTTGTAAGTATTAACGTTATGTAGTTTCGTTTGATCATTTTTTTGATTTTTGGTAATGAAAGGAACAGTGTAAAGGTTACTTTTAATATTAAAAACAAAACATTTGTGAAGTTGTCAGTTAGACTAAGCTATTACAGTCAAAAGCAGGATAAAATAGGCGGATAATACCAATGGAACATTCAACACTCATAAGTAGAAGAACGAATGACAAAACTATGGAAAAAATCGAAAACATTGAAAAGACAGTCGATTACTAACCATTACATGGAAAACTAATGGACTAAACAACCCAACATTCTCAGTAGCGTAATTATTTGTATTTCCATCGTCCTTTAGACAATTCGTTGATACGAAAGTTAGTCAGATGATAAGGGAAAGAACTTTACTTTTCGTCTTTTTGTAACACGCCTTGGAAAAAATCTTCTCTGTTTTTAGAGGTTGATTGAAAACAAAGATAATGTTCCTATTTTTGGGGTAGTACAAAAGGCGCCACATTCAGTTCCTCCCGTAGCTCATACTTGTGAGTTTAATCTATAATGTTTTACTGTGTTAAATTACCGAAAGAAAAACAAATGGGGAATTCAAAGCTAGTTCGTAATATGCATCTGCATGTGTGCGTCCGGAGAGTAATACTTTATGTAATAGTTCAAATTATAAATTCTGTTCAAATGTAAACACAGGAAGATGTGGTTTGATTGTAAATGAGACAACTTTCCTTCAGGGACCAACATGATGTAGAAGTTTGAAACTATAGGTCACCACTTAATTACTGACATCTGGCTATCGAAAGGCACATATAGCATGCTGCGGGTTCAAATATGTTTTATGGGCGCCTAACCCTTCCTTAAAATGAGATAGTTGTGTAACAGCACAAAATAAGAGCAAAGTTTTGTTATAACAATTATATGAAAATGGTCTTAAAAGACAAAAATACATTATAGTCAACACTTAAATATAGAAATTCATTGTAAATAA